TTATATTTTATTTGTAATATGGTTAATTTAATATAGATCAAACCCCCTGATTTTTCTCTTCTTGAAATTTTCATATAAAATAAACTAGCATCTCATATTTTCATAGCTTTTATTTATATACAAAATTTTCGTGCAAAACTATGACGTAAACTTATCTATCCAACAATAATAACAGCAACATTAAGTCTTTATCACACTAAGTAGGATTGGCTTCATGAATCCTTCTTCTCAATTGTGTTATGTTAAGAATCAAATTCTCAATTAAGGCTTTGTTTGGGATGGCTTTTTTACTGTTTTCTAAAACGGAGTTTTAATACAAAATTTTTTATTTTTGAACTAAAACTCCGTTTCAGAAAGCAATAAAAAAGCCGCCCCAAATGAAGCCTAAATCTAATAAAAATGTCATTTATAATATTTTCTAACTAAGACTTTTTAGGTCTAACTCTACCTTTCTTCACATAAACCAAATCTCCTAGCCGAGTCATCGGAAGGCTATCGTTTTATGTGACCAAACCATCTAAGCAGTGGAGGAGCTAGGATTTGTTATCTGAGGGGCACAAATTTCTTATTTTAAAAATACCCTCAAGCTTTTTCATTTGAGCTTGAAATTGACTTTATGGTTTTAATTTTTTTTTATTATAGTTGTTAATTATAAGAAGATAAATTTTATGATAACGAAAAAAAAATTATTTTCATATTAATCTAAATTAATTTCAACACAAATTTATTTAGACTATATATTATCATACTCATCATATTTTAAGCAACTTGATTTAACTTTAAATGTTATAATTCTCATCTAATATAATTTGTTGACATTAATTATGTAAATCTCCTATAAATTAGAATTTAGAGTTTTTAAAATAATAAAAAGTTTTGATGAAATTTTTAATTAAAAAAAATACTAGTAATGTGAAGATGGGAGAGGGCAAGTGTTTTCTGATCTGTTATGCTTGATGTAAGCTAGAAAACGTAATAAATTTCTTGTGGAATATAATGACGCCGCCGATGAACCTTGTTGCATGCTAGTTCTGAATAGGGACGACGACATTTGAGAAGGCGGGGATAGGATTGAAGTGATTTTAAAAGAAGCCATGGAAGGCAAGGTTTAATTGGGGCTGAATACCGCCAATGAGAACAGACTAGTCTGAAGGATGAGAGATCCTTATGGGTTTGCAGATGCTTTGAGATTTCGTGGAGAATATCAATAGGTAAATCATAGCATATTGCCATCAAAGAGAGCTCCGAGAGGAAGACAAAAAACTTTTGGATTTTGAGTTTTTGTGAGGAAAAGAGAAGGGGATTGTTCGATGGACAGTTTTGGTCGTTGTTAGCTGATTGATATTCAGACATTAATTAATATCTAATTTCTTTCTATTTCTAGAACAGCTAATTTTTCATTGATTAGCTGTAGCAGAAATAGAAAGAATTTAGATATTAATTAATATCTGAATATCAATCAGATAACAACGACCAAAGCTGCCTATCGAACAATCCCTTCTATTTTCCTCACGAAAACTCAAAAGCCAAAAGCTTTTCGTCTTCCTCTCTGAGCTCTCTTTGATGGCAATATGCTCTGATTTACCTATTGATATTCTCCACGAAATCTCAAACCATCTGCAAACCCATAAGGATCTCTCCTCCTTCAGACTAGTCTGTTCTCATTGGCGGTATTCAACCCCAATTAAGCCTTGCCTTCCATGGCTTCTTTTAAAATCACTTGAATCCTATCCCCGCCTTCTCGAATGTCGCCGTCCCTGTTCAGAACTAGCATGCAACAAGCTTCATCGGCGGCGTCATTATATTCCACAAGAAATTTATTACGTTTACTGCTCCTACAAAGACTGGCTGCTTACAGCAAGCTTAAAAGATCAGAAAACACTTGCTATGACCATCTACAATCCGTCCACAAGGAAATTCATTTCAGGATTATTTAGATTGGGAGAGATCAGTGGAAACTTTCTTCGAATACATAGAGATTGAGCCAAAAAAACAAGTTAAATATGCTGCTTGTCGCCTTAAGGGCGGAGCGAGTGCTTCTTGGTGGTTACAATTATTGCAAGCTTGGCGAAGGGAGGGATGCAGCCCCATGCAAAGTTGGTACAGGATGAAGCAATTACTCCGTGGACACTTCTTACCAACAGACTACGAGCAGATGCTTTTTTGAGAGATTGTCCGGTTTCATAGTGGTCCCCATAGCCTCACATCCGACAGAGACGTGAAGTTCATAAGTCATTTCTGGCGCAAGCTCTGGAAATGATTAAGTACTAAGCTTCAGTTGAGTTCACCTTATCATCCGCAGACCGACAGGCAAATTGAAGTCGTCAACAGAACTTTGGGCAATCTTCTCCGCTGTCTT